TGGAGTTCTCATCAATACTCTGCGGTAGAGAAGGAACTGAGAGGTGGGGCGGCCGCACAGTGCTAATCAACTGCCACCATAGGTGTGAGATGGGGCGAGCGAATGTGTGGCCTAGCTGGGTACTGCTGTTGAAATTCTCTGACTAGAGGCACAGGGTGCACAATGACCTAAAATGGAGCACTCACAGGGGGATACATCTCGAAGAACCTCAGTTACTGCACAAGGTGAATAACCTTCTGTTACACCTAGATATATTGGCTTTGGGTCATGTGCTAGTCATTCTGCATTCAAGGTGCTGAGTCCTCATGAAACATTTTCATGACTGAGGTGAAAACATGAGGACACCATCTTTGACACACTGGATTTAAGACTCCAATTACTGCAGTAGCCACTGATAGCTACCATATTTTGGTTCAGATTGTCCTTGGTCTTTTTGAAGTCCCTGTCTCTTGAAGCTAGGCAGATGTCATCCACATACCTGAATGGCTTTGAGATTGTTGGAGGTAGATCTTTCTGTAAATATATTGAAAAAGGGTAGGGCAAAAACAGATCCCCGAGGGACACTGTTCTTCTGGATCCTCCATGTGCTCAGTTTATTTTCTAGCATCACCTGGAATTGTCTGTTTCAAAAGATCATTTCCGTAACTATAACAACCCATTGAGGTAACATCTTTGACATCATGATCAACAGGCCAATGTGCCAGACAGTAGTCAAGAAACACAACCTCTTGTCTTTTTTCCTTCTGTTGAAAACCATTTTCTGTACAGGTGGTAAGAGCAAGAACTAGGTCTGGAACCTTGCCCTGTTCATCACTCAGATCCTGTTCTACTGTGGGCATGATTCTTTGCGGAATTAGTTGCTCCAAAAGTTTGTAAGTACAACTCAGAAGTGATTATCCTATGGTAGCTAGCTGGAACAGATTGGTGCTTTCCTGGTTTTGGTATAGCTGTTGACAATCATTTTATGCTCTTCTTACAAAGAAGAAACAGAATTTCTGGTGCAATCTTGTCAAGGCCACATGTTTTTCTTGCTTTCAGTAGTGCTCTCTTCACATCTTCAGTGGATAAAGGCTGAAAGATGTCATATTCACATGAAGGTGGAGACAATCTTTATGGGTGCCATTCCCTCTTTACTGATTCCTCAAATGGCATGTCCCTGTTGGCTTTTGTCATATTGCTTAGGTGTGTGGTGATGCTGTTTGGGGACACTTTCCACTGGTGTGTGGTTAGTGGTTTCTGTGCTGCGCCAAGCTTCCTTCTGAATGACTGTGCTTTCCTGCTAGATCTTGTCACATCCGTAGTTGAGGTAACTTATTCCCAACATTCCCTGCAACAGGCATAGAGGTTGTCAGTGGTTTGCTGTCTCTAAGTTACCAGATTCTTCACACTGCTTCAGAAGTTCTATGCATTCCACATCTAAGCAGGCTATGTAAGTCTTTTGTTGGCCACATGGGATGGATTTAGTGTCTGCTTCAAAGATTGCTTTTGAGAAGCAAGTGTAAGCATTTTCTTCAGAATATTATGTGGTATTCACACTATGTGCTCATTGATCAACTGACAATTTTTTCCCAGTCTTCCCTTCCATAATTCCACCATAATCTAGGTATAGTGATTATTATGGAGATTGTCACTCCTATCAGAATAAGAATAGGGCAGAAGGGGACAGGTACTGGCTGTGTGGGAAGTTTCCAAGAACTCCACAGGAGGCTGGTAACAGTTGGCCCCTGTGATGAGTCGGACCCCTCTTCTGGGATGCCACCTATGTACCAGGATTTCACTGAGCCTCTCTTGCTCAACCAGCCTGGGTTCCCGCTCCCTGCTTTGCTGAATTAGGCTCTCTGGCCTCTTGCAGCACACACACACTGGTAGGGCCACACCCCGCTGCAGTCACAGACTGAAGTCAGCTCTGTGTGAGAGGACTCCCCCAGCACTCACGTGCACACCTTTTGGGAGATAAACCCAAAATAATGCTGTATTGCACTGTATAGAAAAACCTGCACAGCACAAGCTCATAAAAATCCGCCCTCTTCCTCAATGTGAAAAGAGATGTGCAGGACTTCTTGCCCCCTCCTGTTAGAAACTGCATTAACTGGGTTTAATAATAAACAAAATACATTTTATTAACTATAAAAGGGAGATTTTAATTGGTTCAAGGGATAGCAAACAGAACAAAGCAGATTACTAAGCAAATGAAACAAAACACGCAAACTGAGCTTAACACACTAGATACATAGGATACAAATTAGCAAATTCTCACTCTGAACGATAAACAGGCTGGCAGATTCTTAAGGCACAAGTTGCCTTGGCTTTCCCAGGTTTTCTTACACAGGCTAAAAATCCTTCCAGCCTGGGACCATCACTTCCCACAGTTCGGTCTTTGTTCCTCAGGTGTGTTGTAGGGTGAGTGAGGTCCTCTCCTGTTGTCATTGTCCCTCTTTTAGATCTTCCCCCCACATGCTGGAAACCTTTTTTGCTGTGACCTGAGTCAAACAGTTCCCACTGTGTCGAGCTGTCTCTGAGAGGTGTCTACTGCACACAGTTCCTGGGGTAATCCTTGTGTGCTTGTGTGCATTTCTTCAGTAAGCCACTAACATTGTCTGGCCTCATCCAGTGTAGCACATTTGAAATACAGAGATATGGTCAATATTTCCAGCTTCAGATACAAAAATGATACATGCATACAAATTGGATAAGCACATTCAGTAAATCATGACCTTTCTAATGATACCTCACATGGGCCATCTTGCATAAAGTATATCTTAGTTATACCATATCATATCATATCCATATTTCTATGAAGAATATGGAGTATAATGTCACAGCCCCCTGTTGAGATGTCCCACTTGAGGTCAGTAGAACAGCAGTACTTCCATCATGCAGAGAAAAAGTGGCTGGCTGCTTAAGGAAATGAAAGAACTATAGATCACTTATAGAAGCCCAGTCTGTGAGATCTTGTCCATTCTTGTCAGACTCTCTTATAGCCCCAGGAGGTGTGGTGACTGTTGAAGCCCCTAACAGATGGATGTATGTTGAAGTGTTTGTCAAGATGGGGTGTTTCAGGCTACATCAGCAGGTTTATAAACATTTGCAACTTCAAACTGACTAACTCTTACAATATCACAGTGAGGCAAAGTAGTTGGTAGGGCCTCCTCATAAATATCAGATTTCACATAAATGGCTCTGCCACATTTTCCATGAAGATTGTAGCTAACAATGTCATAGACTCTCACTGTCAGCCCACTGGCAAGGAAGGAATCTGCATGCTTTTCTAAGAGACCACTAACATTCACCCTGTGACAGGCCATGAGATTCTCTATTACTGAATGCTTTGCAGCTGACAGCCCCTCAGTACTGAGTTGAAGAATGGAGAGAAAAGGATCAACAAGTATAACTCCCGTATCACTGTGAACTGCAGGAAGCCAGTATAAATGGTTAAACAAAGAATTGGTTTTGAAATCTAAACCTTTTATACAGGTCTGTGCATGCAACATTAAATGCTATTTAACAATCTTACCTTGCAATAGCCCTGATGAAGTCCAGAGAGACAGTACATTTGTACTTCGGTCCATCAAGCTGGTCATCATGGCCAACCAAGGTTAAAAGCTGGAGTGTCACAAGAGAGGTGATCTAGAAACAAGAGACATCACTGAAACATTACTCACTTTTGCAAACAGGAATAACAATGACCAAATTTTCATTTGTCACCAACATAACTTTTGCAAGGTCACCAAATGTCTCTTATTTCATAAGGAAGTTCTACATTTGGCTATACTGTCCCACTGACTGTCACACTGTTCTGAAACCAGCTGACCCAGAAGGGTGTAAATTCACATGACCAGGTCTGCAGCAGGAGCAGCCTTATGCATAGGTTGAAATTTAGGGCACTTCATATCAGAGGTTACCCTGAAATTCTTCTTAAATACCTCTACAGTTCCGTTACCTCCATGAATTGGCACTTTCTAAGTCTTGACAGCCACCTAAGACATACATCAAGTTCACTTCCCTCACATGTGGAGACCACCTTTTCGAATTGTCATACTCAGAGTTTTATACCCCAGAGCCCCTTGTGCCAGATTAGACCACATTTCAAACAAACTCATTGAATCACCCTACCCTGCCATGAGACAGAAGCCCCAAGGTTGGAACGCAGGATGAAGGGTACTGAAGATCATGCGCTAAGCCAAAACCCCATCCCTTGGGGAGTGGGCCTGGAAGGAAAGAGAGAGATGTGTGTGTGTGTGCGCCCACACATGTACAGACACACACACACTATATCTTGAGAGATCGATCACTCTTTTCCTTCTTCCAAAAGATGATCTCTTAGCAGAGTTGGATATGTATGTATCAATACATACATATATATGTACACACATGCACACTCAATGCCATTAAAGTCTTGATAGTTTCCACACTGTGGTATTGAAGGTATACACCATATTAAACAAAAGGAATACATTTGCTACTTACTTTAAATGGTGCCCAAGCGCACACTAAAAATAGAGGAAAGGAAGGAGTATGGAGACTAGTGTGACCAGACAGAAAATGTGAAAAATCGGGACAGGGTGGGGGGCAATAGGAGCCTATATAAGAAAAAGACCCAAAAATTGGGACTGTCTCTATAAAATCGGGACATCTAATCACCCTAATGGAGACCCTAGAAAAAGTGTGAATGGTGAGAGACAAATGAGAGAGAGAGAGAGAGAGAGAGAGAGAGAGAGAGAAAATGACAAATGCGGAAGTACAGATGTAAAGATATAGGAAAAGAATGAAGCTGGGAGATACAGAACTAGAAGGGAAAAAGACACAAAAAATACACTATGAATACACATTTAGTTTAATAGAGCTCCTGAAGGCTAATCTGTGTTAAGTGTGTGCCTCAAGGGTGATTTTTATTGTTATTATTATAATCATCATCATCAGCTGTAATAATAAATATTTATACTGTATTACACTAGCACCCAAAGGCTGCAGTCAGGATTTAGGTCCAGTTGTGCAGGGCACTGTACAAATACAGAAAAGAGACAATCCCTCCCATAAAGGCTTCATAGGCTAAAGACAAACTTATGTACAGGGTTTATTTTTAAATTGTCCATATTGTTGGCTATTTTCTCCTTCTGACTCCAAGATTGAGGGTGGGATGCCAAAAAGTTCTTTGCCAAAGGCATCTGTGAACTTGGTGTGGTGTGCAGGTGAGTTCGCTGAGCAAGCTGGGTACTAGTCATAAGAGGAAAGCTTTTTGCTCAGAGCACAGTGGACTTTGTAGCAACTAGCCATCAGGACTCTGTTGGGGGAAGTGAGAGAAATGAAGGAACCATTATCCCCTACTCCATCATCTGGGATGACAAGAGGATGACAGACAAAGACAAAACGATGCCACCATCTTTAGCCTGCACCCATACCCCCTTACTGGCTGCTCAAGCTTTGTCTTTCTTGTCTGGCTCCTTATTGTCACAGTGACTCCTGGGGGAATTCTGTGCCAAAAAATTAAAAATTCTGCATATTTTGTCAAAATAACACAATAGAATCACTCCAGTTTCAATTATTTTGGTAATTTATTTCAAAATACCTGCCAGCAAGTATGTCAACAATACAGACAACAGCAAAAAAGATTCCTCCAGGAGTAGAGAGTTAAAGAAACCCCTAACAAACCAGTTCCAGATGGGGAGTGCTGGAGGGGGCTGTGTGGGGTCCCCCAGAGCCCAGATACCCACACTCCCATCCCCCCACAGCCCAGCTGCAGGGCACCCCCTGGCCCAGATACCTGTACCCCTTTTCCCCCAGAGCCAAGCCATGGGGCACCCCCTGGCCCAAACACCAGCCCTCCCTCCCATGGGGCAGCTCCCAGCCCTCCTCCCCAGAGCCCAGCTACGGGGCAGCCACCAGCCCATACACCAGTCCTCCCCTCCCCACAGAGCCCAGACGTGGGGCAGACAAAGAATTGAAGGCAAAGGAGCACAGTGGTGAAAATACATACAGTAAGAATATAGCAGTAGGAATATATTACTGATCACCTGACCAGGATGGTGATGGTGACTGTGAAATGCTCAGGGAGATTAAAGAGGCTACAATAACAGAAAACCGAATAATAATGGGAGATTTCAACTATCCCCATATTGACATATACCCATATGTCACCTCAGGAAGATGTCAAACTGTCTGGGTTGGTAAGAGCCTGAGTACCAACTTCAGAGCAGACTATTAAGAAACAGGGCACAAACCTCTTACTGATTGTGAGTTCTATACTTAAATTTCACCAACCAAGTATCAGGTGTAAACTCCTCAGACACTATAACAGCTTAACAACAGAGTCACAGACAGTCCCCTTGGGTACTCCAGTCTATCTTGCCACCTACGCATGCTTGCCTCTGTGATAGATGGTCCCTTACACCAGAAACTCACAACAATATTCAGGTTACTTCCAATCCCAAAGGACCGGTCACTTATCACAAGTCAATTGCACTTTAGATTTTACACCAAAGACAATGCTTGTAGACAATCCTATAATATACACTAAAGATTAACTAAGGAAAAGGTTATTTACAAGGTTAAAGCAGGTAAACATACATACATAAATGAGTTACAGTCTTAGGTTCCAAAAGGTGATAGAAGCTCCTGTAATATGCAAGCTCTATATGTTCTTCAGAGCTAACCTAGGCTAAGCAGCTGCGGATCCTATCCTTATGCTTAGAAAACTTGTCAGGATTTTTATCTTCTTCCCCCCCAGAGTTCAAGCGGATGGGATGAGTTCACTCGCATGTCTCCTCTTGAGGGAGTGCAGTGGAAGACAATTAAAGTCTTTGTTCTTTGATGTTTCACAATGTCTCATTTTGTTTCAATAGGCCTTCTTGGTGGGCAGGACCTAACACCCTCTGTAGGAAGCCAGCATTTTACAATAATTAATGCTCCTTTCCTGTTTGATGGCTTACACAATCACAGAGGATTATAATACAAACACTTAATATCACTTTATAATATGGGGTACAGATCTTATAAGTGAGATTAATTTTTGTAATCGTTTGACAGCCCTACTGCATATATTAATCATGATTAATTGCAGTTTTAATCACATTGTTAAATAATAATAGATACTATTTATTTAAATATTTTTGGATGTTTTCTACATTTTCAAATATATTGATTTAAATTACAACACAGTACAAAATGTACAGTGCTCACTTTCTATTATTATTGATTACAAATATATGCACTGTAAAAAAGATAAACAAAATAAATTTTTCAATTCACCTCATAAGTACTGTAGTGCAATCTCTTTATCGTGAAAGTGCAACTTACAAATCTAGAAATTTTTTTTACATAACTGCACTCAAAAATAAAATAATGTAAAACTTTAGAGCCTACAAGTCCACCGAGTCCTAACTTCTTGTTCAGCCAATCGCTAAGACAAACAAGTTTGTTTACATTTACGAGAGATAATGTTGCCCGCTTCTTATTTACAATGTCACCTGAAAGTGAGAACAGGTGTTTGCATGGAACTGTTGTAGCTGGCGTTGCAAGGTATTTACATGCCAGATATGCTAAACATTTGAATGCCTCTTCATGCTTCAACCAGAATTCCAAAGAACATGCTTCCATGCTGATGATGGGTTCTGCTCGATAACGATCCAAAGCAGTGCGGACTGATGCACGTTCATTTTCATCATGTGAGTCAGATGCCACGAACAAAAGGTTGATTTTCTTTTTTGGTGGTTCATGTTTTGTAGTTTCTGCATCAGAATGTTGCTTTTTTAAGACTTCTGACTGCATGTTCCACATCTCGTCCCTCTCAGATTTTGGAAGGCACTTCAGATTCTTAAACCTTGGGTCGAGTGCTGTAGCTATTTTTGGAAATCTCACATTGGTACCTTCTCTGTGTTTTGTCAAATCTGCAAGGAAAGTGTTCTTAAATCAAACAACATGTGCTGGGTCGTCATCTGAGACTGCCATAACACAAAATATATGGCAGGATGCGGGTAAAACCACAGAGCAGGAGACATACAATTCTCCCCCAAGAAGTTCAGTCACAAATTTAAGTAATGCATTAATTTTTTAACAAGCGTCAGCAACGTGGAAGCATGTCCTCTGGAATGGTGGCCTAAACGTGAGGAGGCATACGAAAGTTTAGCACATCTGGCACGTAAATAACTTGCAACGCCGGCTACAAAAGTGCCATGACAACGCTGGTCTCACTTTCAGGTGACACTGTAATTAAGAATCGGGCAGCATTAATGCCGATAAATGTAAACAAACTTGTTTGTCTTAGTGATTGGCTGAACAAGAAGTAGGACTGAATGGACTTGTAGGCTCCAAAGTTTTACATAGTTTTGTTTTTGAGTGCAGTTATGTAACAAAAAAAAATCTACATTTGGAAGTTGAACTCTCACAATAAAGAGATTTCACTACAGTACTTGTATGAGGTAAAATTAAAAATTCTATTTCTTTTGTACATCTTTTTTACAGTGCAAATATTTGTAATAAAAAATAATATAAAGTGAGCACTGTACACTTTATATTCTGTGTTGTAACTGAAATCAATATATTTGAAAATATAGAAAAACATCCAAAATATTCATAATAGATTTCAATTGGTATTCTCTTATTGTTTAATGGCAATTATTTTTTTAATCTAG